CCTACAGGCTCTGGAAACGATATGGGCCATGCAAGGGATCAAAAGATGGACCGAGATCATGTCGAAAGATTTCCATGTGCTCGTCATGTAGCTTTGTTTCTTTTTACAGTGATATACCCCAATTGAATGCTTCCCACCGTCACAACACCCTTCTGCCCTATGATACCCGTCTTCCAAAGTCTTGATCTGCTAGGGCTTCTCCCATCATGCCAGTTTGGGCTTCAGTGGCGTCTGAAGCGATTGCGCAAGGTCGTTGCGCACCGCCAGGCCCGCGCGCGTTCCCTCTTCGATGGCCCCGTCGATGAAGCTGCGCCAGCCTAGCGCCCAGTCCGAGCTCGCGAAGAAAATGTTGCCCTGTCGAGCGCGCATGTCGCCCAGATGTGAAGAGAGGAGCCCTGGCTTGGAGAAGAACCTTGACAATGGGTCAGTCAAACGAAACAAGACGTCAGCACAGTGGCGAGACTTACCAAGCTCCTTTGGCGAATTCGTCCTTGGACCAGTTGTGGAAAACCTGTGTCCCGCGAGGTCAAACGGTGCGAAAGAAATTAAGACGTCGGTAGTCGAGAGAAAGTAGAGAACTTACGATGCGCTCAATGTCCATGGGCACGAGGCCCTGCAAGGCCTCCTTTGTCTTTTCGATGTTTTCGTCTGGTTCAAAGTGCTGGTGTTGGCCCCCGAACGCAACGATGTGGGTGTTTCCCGAAGGCGTCTCGCCGTCTCCGAAGGCATAGAAGAGGCCGTTGTGAGGATAGCTGATGCCCGTATACGATCTTAGGTCGCGGTCCCTGACTTCAGCGTGCACCTTGACACACTGGTTGACGTGGCCCGTGTCCGCCGCCGATTTCTTGCCCACCGATAGCGGGGGCTCAAAGGCGATGCTGTTGAGGATGTTCAGAGGCATGGCGCTGACCATTCTCTGGGCCTTGTACCCTTTCCCCTCACGGGTCGTGACGTGTACGCCGGCAGGAGTGTTCTTGGCCGCCGCTACGGGCGAGTTGAAGGCGTACGACAAGTTGCCCGTGGCGAGCGCCTCCTGGAAGAAGCGGATCGCGAAGCTGGACTGGCCGCCGTGGAACTTGTACTTGACGAGATGCTCTATGCAACCTTCGTACGAGTAGGCGCTCAGGGCCCACCAGTGCATCATCTCGAAGAAGCTCGTCGTCTCGAGGGTGCCTCCGCTGCACAGGAGAACGAATGTTTCGACGGCAAGACGCTCGTTGGGTGTGAGCGAGTCTTTAATCTGCGCCAAGCGGTCGGCGACGGACAACTTGTCCAAGGCGAGGGCTTCTGGAGTGAATTTGCTCGTGTGAGGGAAGGGCATGATTTTCTTTCCGTATGCGCCGTCGACGTTGACAAGCTTGCGCAGACCCGACTCCATCAGTGCATCCTGTTTGCATGGGCAGTCAGCAGCGAGCATCAAAAAGGGGTTCCAAGGGGGGGGTAGTAATAGTACCTCTTCATCGTGTGTAAATTTCTGCGTGCCTTGTTCGTTTACCAAATGATACTGGTTGACGCCTCTAGAGAAGTCGTAGGATATCTCCAGCTCGTCTTCCATCCCATAGCGCTTGATTTCCCGCCAGACATTGGGCTGTCCCCAGAAAACCCAGGTGCCGCCCATTTCGAAGGGATATCCTCCAATATCGGAAGACCAAGAACGTCCACCAATGCGATCCCGTCCCTCCAAGAGAAGGACCTTGAGCCCTGGTAGCTGATCAGTTCCAAAGAACGGAAAGAGACGCAGCATGGTAATGGTGCGTATTTACCTGCAACAGCTGCATCTCGTGCAGCAGTCAAGCCGCAGTATCCGGCGCCTACAACGACAACATCGTAAACAGTGTCTTTTGCCGCCTCTGGTAAGTTTGATGGAGGCTGAATGGCGCCAATGCAGGGAACCCCGGCTTTCAAGCCGTCCTTGTCGGTCCAAGAATAGCCGTCTCTGGACGACATTGTAGTGCTGGCTTGTATTTAGTGGTGGAGGATGCCCTCGAGATGATGAAAAAGCAAGCAAACAAAGGAAGAAGATTCGCAATCAAACGCGCAAACAAAATAAGTGACCGTCCTTGTGGGATTGGTTGAAAGGCGGCTTATGTACGGACATTGTTATGCGGATTCAAGCAAAAAAGAGACCACGAGGGGCTGCCCATCATCACATCCATAAATTGGTGAACGGGTCCTTGCGATTGACGTTAGATGTCTCTTTCCGGTATTTTCTAGAGACCCTCCTTCCCAGCCGCAGCAGCTCGACACATCAGCATTGGCGTCACCGCGGCTCTTGTCGATAGCGCCCCGCTCGCCGTCGCAACTTGACATACAACGCCTACTTATCTGGGACCTCGCCCACCCGATTATCATAGTGTCTTCGACAAAGTGCTCGAGAAATTGCCTGTTCAGTTCTAGTTCGCCGTGGCACGTCTGTACCCCGCATTTTAGCTCTATCACTCAAGCTTCGAAGCTAAACAAGGGGGAGGGCCCAGCGCTCGCATTCATACCCGATCCGGTAATTCCTCGAGCGCTCGAGGGAGCGATAACACCAAGCGAGGGGCAGTGGCTGGGCCTCGAGCTGAAGCTCCAGTTCCCCGGATCATGCGGTAGACAAGGGGTACTGGCAATCTTGACATACACCCTCCTTCTGGTGGGATAAGCATATCTCGACTGGCTGGCGAGGCTACCCGAGCACGACCTCCTCGCTACGACGGCAGTGCACTGATAGATAGCCGCGATACGTATTGAGTCGTGAGTGATCACGCGGAGAGCACGCCAAACTACATACTTGTGTGCCACCATGCTGGGGACAAGTCGCCCAAGAAGCTAGCCTTGATCATCACGGCGGTCGTCTAAAGGGATACAAATGTCATGGCTGACCCCGTGCCACGTTCCTGGATCACCCATGGCCCATTTCTCAACATCAGTACTCTTACCTCACAACCTTCAATCATTCTTCCATGTTGATTTAATTCCCATCATACAGGGGGACACATTGTACTGATTACTGACATGGCACATCATGCAAAGGCTGGCCATCTGCAGGCCCGGTTATCGGGCCTCAACATGGTGGCTATGGCATTTGCCATTCTCAAGTAAGTCCACTGCGATCGTATCCAGGTGCAACAAGCTCATGGTATCCCGAAACAGTACATGGATAGCTCTTGCTGGCTCGATAGGCCTTGTGTTGCCATCAGGGGGTCCCGTGTCCCTTTTGTATGGGTTCGTCTTCTGTGTGATGTGCAACTTCGCCCTCACTGCGAGTCTTGGTGAGCTGGCAGCCATCTGGCCCACGGCTGGAGGTCAATATCACTTTGTATACGCCCTCTGCTCTACAAAGTGGAAGCGGGTCATGGTACGTCCTTTCCTTCAATCTACGAGCGAAATCTTGTCTGATATTGGGGTGCAGAGCTTTTGGGTGGGCTGGACCAATATTGTTGGCTGGCTGATTGTCGTCACGGTTCAAGGGTTCTTTGCAGGTACGTCAAACTGAAAAAGAAGAAGCAGACTGCCTTGAGAGAAACCCGCTGACATTCCCTGTAGCACTCTTCATATGTGCTGCCTCTGTTGTGGCTTCGGACGGGAGGTTCGTTGTAACACAGTGGAACACATACCTGATATTCCTAGCCATCCTGACATTTGCCACGGCGGGCAACATCTGGGGTAACAAGATCCTCGGTAAATGGAACGATCTCGCCCGTAAGTTTCTATGTCGTCCCCGTCTGTGATGCCACGGGGCTAAAACACGCAGTCGCCTGGTCCATCCTCGGCGTTGTCGTTATCAGTATCGTTCCTCCTATCAATGTCCGACAAGTCGAGCGCGGAATACGTCTTTACGTCCTTCAACAACGAGTCTGGGTGGGCTGACGGCATGTCTTGGATCCTTGGACTGCTCCAGTCTGCTCTCTCTTTGATTGGTTTCGACGTGGTTCTGCACATGACGGAGGAGATGCCGAACCCCTCGCGCGATGCTCCGCGGGCCATGGTGTACGCCATTGCTGTTGGAGGCGTAACGTAAGTACAAATGTCGATGAATATCCGCCAGCCTCGCTCAAGATATCACGAGACTGATTGTTTAATCACAGAGGTCTGGCATTCATCCTTGTGATGCTCTTCTGTCTCACCGATCCGGCCACTGTCCTTGCCTCGCCAACAGGCATGCCCATTGTCGAGCTCATCCTGCAGGCAACAAAGAGTCGTGCTGGCACGTGCGTGTTGACTCTCATGCTCGGAGTTTGCTTCATCAATGGGTGCAACGCATCCGTCACCAGCGCCAGCCGCTTGCTCTTTGCCATGGCGCGAGACAAGGGTATTGTCTTCCCCAATTACTTCTCCCACATTACGCCTGGCCTCAACGTCCCTGTGCGAACCATCCTGCTGTGCTTCGGCTTTAACGTGCTGTTTGGCCTGCTTTACCTCGGCCCCAGCGTTGCGTTTGGTGCCTACATTGCGTCGTGCACCATATTCCTTAACGTCTCGTATGCGTTCCCCATCATCACGCTCTTGGTCAGAGGACGCAGCGTCTTGGCCGAGCATCAGCAGCACGATACGCCGTTCCAGCTTGGATCGTGGGGCCATGTCATTAACTGGGTGGCGGCGCTTTTTGTTGTTGTGACCTCCGTGGTGAGTTACCCATTTGCTCCCTCGACATCAACTGTTGCTGATCGATCACCCGCAGTTTTTCTGTTTCCCTGCCTCTCTGCCCGTAACGAGCGATACGATGAGTGAGTCTGGTCCAAAACTTGGTGCACGGCAGGCGAGGTGAGGAGCGCTAACGCGTGACGTAGACTATGTGTCAGTCGTTATCGCCATCTTCGTCGTCGTCAGTGCGGTGAATTGGTGGGTGTATGGACATCGGTTCGAGGGACCTGTAAGCTTATTGATCCTCTCACAATGACAACCTGATGCTGACAAAGGCGCTCCCTTGCAGAAATTCGAGGTCATCATGGGCCAGCACGGAGATGGGCCACTCAGCAAGGCGGATTCAGAGCCACGGCTGGAGACGATTGAGGCCAAGAGGTCGCATGCCGAGGTGGTTTGAGGGGTCAGGAGCGAGGCGTTTCCTAATGCTGTGATGGGATCTCATGTTTTGTTTGTAGTGTAAAATGTTCTCATTGATAGTACATGTGGGTTACTCAAGGTGAGGGGCAAATGTGTTTAAAACTCGAAGGCTGTAGGGACGTGATTCTCGCGGGTAATTGTCTCTGGAGGAAAACCGTTGACGTCTGCAGCCACAGACAAGCAAAGGTGTTTCGTTCTCTGAGGGACAGACTAAAGGACAGACCAAAGGATAGACCAAAAAGGAAGTAGATGCAAACTCGGGGGAGGACAGTTCCGTGCCCGCTTCCCGTGAAGTGAGCGGCCGAGACGAGGAGAGGAAGAGGGGAGGTCCGTTCAGGGAAGGCAGAATCAACGCGACTGCTTGCCCTGCATTTGCATGATGTGTCCATCCCGTTCAAGGTATCGGTACTTCAGCGACCTGCCGGTGGACACCAGATGGGGCAGGTTGATCGGCCGCTATGACTAAGGGCCATGTATCGCAACTCCAAGTACCGTGCGGCGCCGAGTACCTGTCACAAGCTGCCCCTCAACCAATCACTTGACCACAATCGCCGCTCTCCGCCAGCAGGGCAGGCCAACCTTGGCAAAGGATCTACGCGCAACAGCTTGCGTCTGCAATCTAAGGTACCTTACCTAACGACTGTGCAACCTGTCGACTTCCACCATTTCGAGCTTCAACACGCTCTTTCGAACGCCAACCTTGCCCACTTCGAGCCTACCCCCTTCAACCTATTCGGCGCGCTCAATCGATCGCTTGCGACCTGATCTGTTCGACTGTTGATGAGCGCCATCTCCGCCAAACGGCGCTCCCGTCCGAGCTCTGCTGCGTCGCCTCCATCCCACCCCATCTGACCATAACTGGGCGATCGCGACAACGCCGCCGCCATGCTCCCCTCGTCAGATATCGCGGTCCATGCCGCCGAGGTTGTGAGCCAGATTGCCCGTACGATTCTTTCCTGTACTAGAAACGCTTCGATCAGAGAGTCACTGACCTTGCGACCAGGCCGTGCTGCAGCTTCTGACGAAGACTCGGAAGGTACGCGACCAGCCTCCCCTGGCCCCCCTCAACCCGCCCTCTCTCGCTGCCAACCGATGCGAACAACGACCGACTGACACGACAACATAGGCACCGATGGAACACAGAAGGATCAATTGACAGCATGGGCCCTCTTCATCTCCATATTCCTCCTCATCATCGCCTTCTTTGCCAGTTACTACCTCCACGAGAAGAAGATCGAGGCAGTCCACGAAACCGTCATCTCCATCTTTGCCGGCATGACCGTTGGCATCCTCCTGCTCATCGCCTCTGACGACTCGGTACGAAAGCTAATCAGCTTCGATCATCAAATCTTCTTCAATCTCTTACTGCCTCCGATCATTCTCGGCGCAGGATACGAACTCCACCAGGCCAACTTCTTCCGCTACATCGGCCCCATCGTCACATTCGCCTTCGCCGGCACGTTCCTCTCCGCCATGACTATTGGTATTGTGCTCTGGTTCTACGCTGTCAGTGGCATCGAATCTATCAGTCTGGATTTCGTCGATGCCATCTCGGTCGGTGCGACATTGTCCGCCACGGATCCTGTCACTATTCTCGCCATCTTCAACACGTACAAGGTCGATCCCAAGCTATACACCATCATCTTTGGCGAGTCTCTGATGAACGACGCCATTGCCATTGTCATCTTCGAAACGGCGCAAAAGTACAAGGGGGAATCGCATACGGTTAGCTCTCTCAGCTTCCTCGAGGGCTTTGGCATCTTCTTCCTCGTCTTCTTCGGAAGTTTGATAATCGGCGTCCTTGTTGGTGTCGGCACCGCTCTTCTGCTCAAGTTGACTTATATCCGGCGTTACCCCAACATTGAGAGTTGCCTGATCGTTCTCATCTCCTATGCGACGTATTTCTTCTCGAATGCGACACACTTGTCTGGTGAGCACGTCGTAATGCGAGGCTGACATACTGCATGACTAACGCTGTCTAGGTATCGTGTCTCTGCTGTTTTGCAGCATCACGTTGAAACACTATGCCTACTTCAACATGTCTCGCCGCACCCAGCTGGCCACGAAGTACTTCTTCAAGGTTACAGCGCAGCTGTCCGAAAACTTCATCTTCATCTACCTGGGTCTTTCCCCCTTTACCGATAACAGGCTAGAATTCCGTCCACTTCTCGTCATTGTCACTGTACTGGCTGTCTGCGCCGCTCGCTGGGTGGCTGTCTTTCCCCTCTCGCGCGCCATCAATGCCGTGATACGGTACAAGGCCCGGCGCCGTGGCGGCGACCTGAGCGACGAGCTGCCGTACAACTACCAGGCTATGCTCTTCTGGGCTGGTCTCCGAGGAGCTGTCGGTGTGGCCCTTGCTGCCCTACTGACCGGCGCAAATTCCTACGCGCTGAAGGGTACTGTCTTGGTGGTTGTCATGCTGACTGTCATCATTTTTGGTGGTACTACTGCTCGCATGCTCGAGATTCTCGGCATCCAGACCGGCGTTGTCGACGAGATCGACAGCGATGACGAATTCGACATCGAGACCTCTGGTGGCGGCAACTACTACAAACGCTCCGGTGGTGGCGGTATCGGTTACATCCCCGGACGCAATGGAAGCCTTTCTCTGCAGAACCTTGGCAACCAAGGTGGTGGCCGTGGCTCGTACGTCTCCGGTCACCACTCTCCCAACCCCATTCGTCGCACCTCCAGCCTTAGTCGCAAGACGACAGAGGAGCAGGCCGGCCTCCTGGGCCAGACACCGCACGACTCGGACCTCGAGAGCGACATTGACATCTCCGACCTGCCGCCACCCGCCCAGCGCGGAGCCTCACGCCAGGCGAGCCCCCTCAACGTCCAGTCTTCCGAAGCCTCCTCCTCGTTCCTCCCGCCTGATCCGACTCCGGCGGCAGCGCAGCACCATCATGTCACGGCCGGCTCGGCGATCCGTTCGCTGTTCACCACCGAGGACGCCTCACAGCTATTCCGCCAGCTCGACGAAGACTTTATCAAGCCGACGCTACTCCTAGATGGAGGCCACGGCGGCAGGTCAGGAGGTCATAATGGTGGCCCGTCAGGCGTGTAAGGGCCATGTTTTGGGAAAGGGACCACGAGATTGAGCTCCTCTTGTTGCTCCGCATCATGAATATGCGGGTTCCGACGAACTGAGCGGCATGTGCAGTCTCTGACGAAGCCGGGTTTGTTCAAACGAGAACCCAAGCCCTCCCATTTTTCTGTTTCCTGATATGGACGAGCATTATGTGGCGTACGGCGTTTCTATAGACCTTGACTTCGTGGCAGCGTTGCGGCGCTGCCAGATCTCTCGTACGTGTATGAAATTGATTTTTTCCCCCTCTGTTCCATCCTCGATCATTGTGCAGCAAAGCCGTGCCGCGTTTCTCGTAATGGCATGCATGTGTCACATTCGAACAAAGCTTACTTGCGTTCCGCTCTTATTCGTGGCCGCAGTGTCCCTCATTTGGGCACATGGTTCACATTCAATCCATCGGAGGGGAAATTCGGCTTGTTTAAAAAAAAAAAATTGAACACATGCTCGAGGCAAATTCTGGATTTGTCCACCTCGTGACTCGCTCGCTCTTCTTTCTTTCTTTCGTCGTCTTCCTCGTCTTCGTTGATTACAAATGTATGTACACCTCCCGGGGACCCATGTCCACCTATCCCTTTCCCACGCGAGCCGGTGCCAAAAAGAATTATCTACATGAACGAACCGTGATGCGCCCATCCAGGGCCCTCGTCCCTCATTTCCTTAAGACCAGCCCCTTCACAGAGGTAACCGCAGGGTGCGAGCTGCTCATCTGACAGCCCAACGAGCGAATCCCACATTTCTTTCGGTGCAAACGAGCAGTCTCCCCTATGAAGCTCCCGAAGGCGTCGCACTTCCACTGGCTTGCCTCTGTGGCGGCGGCGGTGGCGGCTGCGGGGTGCCTTGCTTCTGAACCTGAGCCTGAGCCTGAACCTGAGTTTGATTCCGTGCTTGAGGCTGACCTTGAGCCTGCGCTGGGGTTTGGGCTGGCGTCTGGACTACGATTGGGTTCGGAGCCGGGGCTTGCGCCTGGGTCTGTACCTGAGCCTGTGCTGGAATTTGAGCCTGCACTTGCGCCTGGGCCTTGACCTGGGCTTGGGCCTGGGCTTGGGCCTGGGCCTGGGCCTGGGCTTGGGCTTGGGCTGAGGCCTGTACCTGATGAGCCTGTGCCTGAGCCTGAGCCTGAGCCTGAGCTTGAGCTTGCGCTTGCGCTTGAGCTTGGGCTGAAGCCTGTACCTGATGAGCCTGTGCCTGAGCCTGAGCTTGGGCTTGGGTTGGGGCCTGTGGTTGAGGCTGTGGCTGGACTTGTGACTTGACTTGTGGGTGCTGCTGAAGCTGCTGCTGAGGCTGTTGTTTTTGCTGAAGGGGCTGTTTCTGCTGAGGCTGCTGAGGCTGCCTTTGTTGTTGAAGCTGTGGCTGTTGCGGCTTCTGCTGCAGATGTTGTTGCTGGGGCTTCTGCTGTGGAGGCTGCTGTTGGGCCGGAGGCTGGGGCTGGGGCTGGAGCTGCTGTTGCTGAGGTTGCGGTGTCGGGGAAGATTGCTGCGGCGTTGACCGTTGTTGAGCCTGTTGATGAGCCTGCTGCTGCTGGTGTTGATGAACGACCTGGTGCTGCTGCGGGTGCTGCTGCTGAGGTGTTTGCTGCATCGGCTGAGGCGAACGGTGCTGTTGTTGCTGCTGCTGCTGCTGCTGCTGCTGAACATGGTGTTGCTGCTGTGCTTGATGATGCTGTCCACCCTGGCCGGAGGCGTGTGCAGCCTGCTGCTGCTGTTGTTGTCTCAGGAGCGCCGCATACTGATGGGGGCTGGGCGTCGCCGTGATTCCGTTCGCCATACCTGGAGACACTCCGCCCCCACCTCCACCGGCTGCCGCGTTCATGGCGGACTGTGACATGTTGGCAGCGCTTTGCCGGTGCATCATGACCCTAGTGAGATGCTCCCTAGCCATCTTATGTGCTTGTTCCGGCGTCAGCATAGGGTTTTTGGCCTTGTATTGCATCTCTAGCGCCTGGATGTGGGCATTGATGTTGGATTGTGGTAATGCATCCGGAGCGCGGGGCGAGCCGGAGGGGCCATTTGGCATGTGTAACCCGCTTGCAGGAGGTGTTGAGACGTTACCGTTGGCAGCATTCATGGTTGCCATCATGGCTTGCGTTTGCGCACTCGCCACGTAGATTTGCTGGTTGACAACTCCATTGGCGACATTGCCATTGACACCGTTGATGCCGTTGACGCCATTGACTCCATTGACACCGTTGCCGTTGATATGAACTCCGTTGGCGGTGCGGATGTTAGCCATGTTTGGAGGCGAGTGGGATGGCTGAGATCCAGGGGTGCCCTGATGCATCTGTTGGCCGGGTTGCTGTTGACTCTGTTGCTGCATCTGAACAGCATGGCGCTGCTGCTCAGAGATACGACGCGCCTGCATCATGACCTCGGTTTGTTGGTTCTGCATCGGCTGCATCCTATGCTGTTGCTGTGCTTGCAAGGCAGCAGCTTGCAACTGAGCGGGTGTCGCTCCATTCATCTGCATGGGAGGTACCAGGTTGCCCATTTGCTGCGCCCCGGCATGCGCGATACCAGCCTGCTGCGCGGGCATCGAAACTCGACCTCGGACTTGTCCAGCGGCGGCGGCAGCGGCGGCAGCAGCGAGCTGGTTTGGACCATTCGCTCGAGGCATGTTGAATTGTGCAGTGCCGTTCGGAGCTTGCTGGCCGGTACCAGGCGTGGTGGGAACTTGGCCATTTTGACCTTGTGCACGTGCTTGTGCCGCGACCTGTGCCAGTCGTCAGTAACGCCGTTACATGGTCAAGGATATCCGGAAGAACGTACCTTGCGCTGAGCCTCTTGTCGCTGGTGGTATAAAGCCACCTTCTCAGCAAGTGCCTGGTCGCGCTCCCATCTCATGATGCTATAGTCCCTAGGCGTCTTCGTTGGGCCCCTAGGCTGCACAGCCTCATTCGCCTTCCGCATGGCCGCTGTCTGGGAAGCCTGCTGTTGCTTCTGGGCTGCGGCTTCTCGCTTCTTGGCCAGCTTCCTCATCGCGTCAATGAGCGTGAGGTGCTTCTGCTGTCGGCGTCTTTCAACCCTAATCGGAGTGCTGCTTGGTCGTCTTCGGGGAACCGGGGTGGTGGGGGTGTTGTTAGGACCACCCGCTGCTTGCTGCTGCGCCGACTGTTGCGCCGGTTGCTGTTGCGCCGGTTGCTGCTGCTGCTGCTGCTGCTGCTGCTGTTGTTGTTGTTGTTGTTGTTGTTGCTGCTGCTGCTGCAGTTGCTGTTGCTGTGCAAGCTGGTTGTGCTGCATGATGACGCGCTGAGCAGCGTCAATTCTGTTCTGGTACGACTTGAAGTACTGGGTCTTTTGCATGTCCGACGGCAGACCTTCCAAATTGATCCAGCGTTCGAAGCATTCCCAAGGTGTTCGCCTTTCAGCTCCTGGTGCATACAAGCATCGAGGGGCCAGGATGCTTGAAATGAAGGACCAATTGTATGAGTATTGTCGAACCAGATCCCGCAACTCGTCGTCCTCTGCCGGGGTCCACTGCGAGGCATGCCGACTCTCGTAAAAGGACTGCATTGGCATGTTGTATTCCGCAGGCGGTCGGAATTGATGGCTGGCGTGAAGACGATCCCTGATTGATTTCAGGTCAGGGTTAAAGAGCGCAACATCAGCGCTTTCGGGAGCAACGTTGGTTCCTTTGAAGCGCTCTTCGCCGAATATAACACGATCCTCATCATCCTCTTCCTCTTCCTCGTACTCGTAGCGACCTCGCTTACGTGGCGGTCCCTCCGACAGAAGCTTCATCTGGCCTTCAACATACTTGTTGAGCGGCAGTGCAGGTCGCTTCCAGTGCGCATCCGGGTCGAACTCCGGTCCGGAGAAGTCAAAGGTAGGTACCTTAAGTGGAGCACCATACATCGGGAGCTCATCCAACAACAGATTGGCCGTTGGTGAACTCCGCATGGCGAAGACGACGTCGTCCTCTTGCAAAGCGAAAATCGCGGAGGGAGCAACCGTTTCAAGAATGTCATGGTGAATTTGGTCAAGATGTTCCGGATTGTCCACGTCGCCTGCGATCAGATCAAGGGTGCTGGATGTAGCGGTATCCTGTTCCAATTGGGTCATCGAAACGTCGCCGTCGGATGCTTGGAGCTTTGGTGGTATTACGGCACTTATCTGCAGTGCTTTACGATCTGCCTCGCCCGAGTGAACCCAGAGAGCACAGGCGTTTGCGAGGTTGCGAGCACATGCCGTCTTCCACTTTCGCTCTTCACGGAAATCCGTCCGCATCCACTTCGCTTCTCCGAGAAGCACGTCCCAGTGAGATTCCTGCCTGGCTGGTTCAGGACACCGCTTCGGCTGTCGGAGGAGCCACTTGTCCTGCTGTTGAAGATTGTATACCCGTCTCAACACGCGGCAAGCCTGGTTATCCAACAGTGCAATGTTCGCATCAGAGGTCGAAACTGTCTTGTGCGCTTGGTTCAATACCACTTCGATGGGCTTCATCCACTTGCTGGATTGGCTGAAGCCTTGGACAAAGAGCGGAGTGAAATAGTCGTCCGTGGGCAGATAGGATTCAGTCTTCGGTTCCCTGTTCAGAGCATTCTTGTCGGACGATGATCGCTTGTGAGACTTGCCAAACACAACAGCCGAAATCTGATTCTTCGGCTTTTGCTTTCGTCGGTACAAGCCCGACCTAGACCGGGACGCTGGTGACTGGGGCGTGGAAGTGACGGGGGTTAATTGAGCACGCGGTACAGCAACACTGGCAGAGTCATCCTTGGCTGGCGCAGCCCGCGTCTCGCCCAGAATGTCAGAGACAGACTTTTGTCGGATGGCGCCGGTGCCAACTCGTGTAATTGCACGCTCAGGTACATGAGCTGCATCGGCCGGCATTTCATGGGAAGAAAACATCGCATCGGCGGAATTTGCTGTGGGCGGCACTATCGACTGGGACGGCGGCTTGACGGCCTCCATTTCCTTCTGAGGAGGGGCTGCCGTCGGGGAGTCAACGTCCATACGATCGGCGGAAGCTGAATCCTGGCTGTCGGGGATATCTGTCGGGGCAGCTGCAGTCAAAGCCGAAGGTTGAGAGCCTGCGGTGGTCTTGACATTTGGTGAGGTCGATGGCGAGATAAGCTTTTCTATAGCCGAAGGTTGGTTGGACCTCGATGGTTCCTGTTTGACCTCAACAGGCTGTGGTACTGGCGCAGAAATCTGGGGCCGTGCCAATGCAGATTGAGACGCCGCTCTTTTAGAAGCGACACTCAGGGATTCTTGGATCAGTTGAGCCTCGGGGCCGTCCAGTACTCGGGCCTCGGTCGAGTCGCCCTCGTTAGACGCCATAACCTCTGATTCCAGAGCCGATCTCTTCGCAGGCAGTTTCACCTGTGCCGGATGGGTTTGTCCATCGTTGCGCTCGGCAAGTCGTGCTGGCTCATGCTCCGGACTCGTTTCTGTCGATACATCTCCAACAACGGGTGTAGCAGCGGTGTGCGCAGTCGATCCGGGGGAGGACAGGATGTCAGCGGGACGCGAGGCTTCCTGGACCTGCTGTGTCCGGGCGACTCCATTCTCGATCCTTGCATCGTGGAGCTTTTCGGCTGGCGACACGGCCGAAGACGGGAATGTACGTGTCAGAAGTTTCGGCTGGGTATCCTTCGGTTCATTTTCTTGTGGTGTGCTTTCCGTCGCGCCTGTGCGTACGCTGGCCTCGCCAGGTTGCTTGGTGTCCTTGAAGACATGACCATTCGGCCCACCATGTCCATTGGGAGGCGTGTGGAAAGAGGTAGGCGGTGCACTCCTCTGCGCAGATATTTTTGGAGGAGCTGGGGAGATCGACTGAGGGTGTATGGGTTTCGGCGGTAGAGATAGGTCTAATGGCTTCTGCTGTGGTCTAGGTGGCTGCACCGAAGTGTCGTGGCCCGGAGTGGGTGTCTGGGACTTGGGTTTAGGGGTCGTCGTTGCGTGCTGGGTGTTTTTGTTGTCGAAATTCGGAGGTTGTACGGGGTTAGGAGAGGGTGTAGGCTGCACGAAGAGGTCAGACCTCTCTAGAGAGTGCCTAAAGGCATCATATCGCAGTGGTGGGCGCGCAGGGATGCTGCGCTCATCGAGGACGCCCCTAAAAGCATGTTAGTCGGATGACGGCGAGCGGCTCGCGCGAAACATGCGAGCGGGAGCGTGTATCGATTGCGCGGCAGGGTACAACGTACTTGAAGATATCGCTGCTCTGCAGAAAATGCAGTTCGGCGGGCAGGGCAGGCGTCGCGTCGGGGGTCGCGAAGTCGTTGGTGGGTATGCCATCGTGGGTTGTCGCGACTGCATACAGCTGGCGAAGCTTGCGCTTCCGCGACGTCACGATTGAACTACGCATCGTTAACAGGCCATCCATGGTATCACTGGCATCGGAAAGAGTAGGGCTATCGAACGCAAGGCAAACGCACCTGAATTCATCGCGTTTGGATCGCAAAAACCTGGCGCGGTCGGCAGGCCCGACCTCAGTCATAGCATCAGTCGCGGCGACATCCGTTTTTGGGGGAAACGGAATGTCGAGGGGACTCGGCAGCCTCGTGCGAGATGAAATAATCGGTCGGCGAGGATGAAAAGGGCGTGTGGTGGTGGCGGCGATTGATGGCGATTGACGGGTCGATGGGGGGTCGCGGTGGGTGGACCGAATTTTCGCTGGGGGGATGCACGATGGTAGCGATTGCTGCGCAGGCAGGTGGTGATGCTTGTCGTTGAACACTGATTTCGACTGTCTGGTTGGACTGGTTCGGCTTGTCTGGTCAGGTAATCTGGGGCCCGTCCGTTGAGTGGGCTGGCAGCTTGCTTGACTGGCTGGACGCTTCCTCAGGTTGAAGACAGTGGCAGGCGGTGGCAGTGGACCGGGATGGGTCGCCGAAGGAAGGGGGGAAGGAGAAGGGGGGGGGGGTTTTGCAAGCGGCTTGGGAAGGAAAGGACCGGGCGGGAATGAATGGGAAAAATTGTTATCGCTGGCAAGGGTGCTGTTTTCGCACTGTTTCACACGGTACTGGATGGAGTGGGTTTTAGCGCATGTTGAGTGTCTTGGTCACAAGTTCCTGTTAGATAACAGGCAGAAGCAAGGCACAGGACAGTGCGTCTCCACCATGTTCCCAAATCTGATCTCTGGAAATGACGGGGAAGGGGATGCCAAGCCTGGTCTTGCCTTCAGTAGGACCAATAGATCCTTGCCGCCTGGTTCCTCCCTGGTTCTCTGCTCTCGCCCCTGAGGCAGTCAGTTAATAGTGCGCAGGTGCATCACCATGTGCCTCCTTACCTAACCCAAACCAAGGACCCCCTCCATACCAACTTCACATGCATGCAAAAACATCATCGTTGGATTTCATCCAGCAATCCAGCAATCCATCAGCGTGTCATCATCAAATCATGGTTCACCACCAGACAAAACCGGGGCGCTCGTCCGTGGCGGCATCATGACGCGTCTGCCTTGCGCAAGGCAACCGAGTGTGCCTGTTCCCGACGCCTCTCTCCAGGCATCCTCAACTCCAGTTTGCTCTAGTTTGCTTGCCTGCGCATCGAGTCCCCAGACCATCGCTAAACATGCGTTCGGCATAATCAGCCATCCCCAGATGCGGTTTTGACTGTGTCGGGTGCTTTTACCATCAGCAGCTCAAGCCAGGTCTGGCGCGCGAGTCGTGTTGGAGGGTGAGAAAAAAGTTTGAGCCCTGCGCGAGCGTACGGGTGTGTATATGGGTGATTCATCACTGTCAAGCCTTACCTGATTAGTGTCCGAAGTCCAAGGTAGCGCACAAGGTAGGCGACTCGACATGTGCTTTCGCTTCTCACGTCCATTCTTGATACATTGCTAGACTCCGGGTCAGAGCGACTCGATGCATGCCTGTCGGCGACTCAATGATGAACCACGCTCCTCGCCATCCGTTGTCAGAAGAGCGAAAGTCCCTTGCTTTGTCTGTCCGTCATCTGCATCATCTCCCTCGAGCACCGTTGATACAACCACGGCAGCCTTCACTCGCATTTGTGTGCCCCATTTTTCTCTCTTACGTAACACCATCGGGATTGGGCTTAGGGGTGGTCTTCAAGCACTTCTCATAGTGAGCCTCCACGCGCTCATGATCGTGTTTGAGAATGAGAATGAGAATCAGTCACTCAACGCATAAGCAATACTTACGACTTGTCAATCGCCCCTTGGATGATGATCTCATTTCGCCTTCCGAGGCTCGCGTGGAAACACTTCGAGCGCCACCATGCCCCTCATATACGCGAAAGTCTCGAAATAGGTCTCATAACGTCGAAACGAATAATTTCACCATAATCATCGATGTCGTGCGAGCTGATAGACACAGCCTTTGCGTCAACGTTTTTGACTTCAATAATCAACCCCTCCATGGGCTGATCTCCCAAGGGAACATCGCCACCTATCACCAGTCTACCCCAGTGATACCCTTCGGTATCCCCATCTGGAACGGCAAGCGCCTGTCCAAGAACACCACCTGACGTCGTCTGGTGACGTCTCCTTCTCGAAAGACATAGCACCTGTGGGCGTTTATTTTGCTGTACTCGTGGCCGTGGCCGTGACCGCAGCGGAATCAATCAGAGAGGCCGAGCCCGTCACGGGCTCACACTCCCCAATTGAACTGCGCTGCATCCCAGGCACAAGCCCTAGCGAAACATCCCAGCCCGTCACGCCCGCCCAGTAGTGGCAGTACAAGGTACTGTCCTGACAGTACGTCGGATTGCACAAGATGCTGCTCGTCGATGATGTAGTCGTCACGTTGCCGACAGATGAGCTTGGGGAATTGACGACAGCTTTGGCTGTCACCAGCGATATACCATTGAATTCAATGTCCGCTTTGCTGTCAAGTGTCTCGCCGTCAATGAAAACATTGGTCCAAGTCGTAGAAGCGGCAGCGGAAACGGTGCAGGGCTCAGAGAAGACGGTCTGGGTCATGCCAGGAATCACTCCATGAGAGACGTCCCAGCTAGTGACGCCGCCCCAGTAGAGACACATAGACACACCGTCCTGGCACCAGTCTTTGATGCAGCTGATCGAGGTGTCGATGGCAGCATGGGAGACGGGGCCGGTAACGGTTAAGATTGTAGCGGGAACTGTGATGACGGGAACGGCGGCGCCGAGGATGGCCGTCACCAGGCTCAAGCCGAGGACGAATTTGCTGAATGGCGACATTGTGTCTTGATGCTGTCTGGCCGACCGCTTCGGGTATGATCTCAATAAGGGGCGGAGAGTCTCTGTCGGCGAGTTTTACAAAGCTAGGAGCGTACGGTACGCATGGTCAATAGTGCCTCGTGAAATGATATGAGGATGAACATGTGAAAGCTTCTCGGTGCCCAGGCGCTTGCCTTCACTTGAACTTGAATAAGTATACTGGTTTCAGGAGTTCGTTCAATGATTCTTTGACCGAAGTCGAAATTTCGAAGGACGACGCACGGGGCTTCAGCCATGGATGACAGTGAGAAAAATAAGCCAGACGATGCGACTCATACGAATGTGCATGGCAGACGTTCAGGGCATGGAGTTCACACCGTACGCCAGATTTTCCCTCAAAGCTCATCTGGGCGTGACGCGAACAGCTCGGTTGATTCTTGATGAACGGAAGACAATGAAGAACCTGGACTTACTAGCGTACAAGGGTTGAGGTTTGATCACCGAGAGAGTTCGTGAGCTCAGCAAGTCTGCTTTGTAGCGTGCGTAGATGAAAGAGGCGAGGGCTTTGGCTAGGAAATAGCTGCTCCTCTTGCGGAGAGAAGTTCAGTCTTGCCCCTCCCAGTTATTTACCGTCAAAGCCTCTGAATCATTCCCCTCGATGAACCACAGGTATCAAGTGGACTTAGGGGCAGGCAGGCAGTTGACGATGTAGAAGTAGACAGTATCACCTGGTTAGTAGCGGCTTCCAGGCAGTACAGGTGTGCTGAACGCTTCATTCATCAGCCCTTACTTTGCGGTTGGCTCAGAGATATTGTGCTACATGCTACAAATCCCAGCATCGTCTCATGGGCAGCACGGCCTCGGAGGCAAGGAACAGCGCCTAGCGTTTTTTGCAATCGGTTGAGGTCACGAGAGCGTTCGAGGAGAAGAGAATCGGATGACCGTGGCTTGAGGGCGATGCGTGCCGAGCAAGTCAGAAGCTCAACTTGCAGGGGTTTATGGCAAGGTGAGGCGAGTCGGACCGTTCGGCGAGCTCCGGGAGAAGCACGTCTGGCGAAGCCTCGAAAACCGTGTGGGCGGTACCCTGTACTATCGACGTGCGCTCGAGACGTGGGGGTGGACTGCCAGCTTCGTCCGAGAGAGACGTCTTGTGGCATCGCAAGCACACCGAATGCGAGTGACAATGGCGCGCGGCCGGTGTGACGATTCGGAAGAAGGATGCCGGCAGGGCGGACATGGGACCATGTGAGTGTCACAGGCCCGAGTTTTCCTCACAGAATCGGAACAAAAAGAGGAAAGTTAAGGAGCAGTTGAATCGTCTTCGTATTGTCAACCTGATTCTATATGGAACGGGAAAGAAGGACATGGTATGCCCTGAGCAGACACCTACAACAGTGCAATTGCACACGTCACAAGAGGAACCCGGAAGCGAATCAGGTGGACAAGGCGCCCGCGGCCTTGAAGAACAGGGTGGCGGTAACCGTCTGGCCCACGAATCAGATGAGAGTGCATAGAGGAGCAAACTTGCGAATCTCTTCAAATCCTCCCGAAGGACGACATAGACGAAGGTGTAGAAGATGCGAGAAGCTACATAGGCTAGGGAGAGGATATTGATAGTCGGGGCGTCAGCACCAACGACATTGGCAGCGACGACGCCGCCGGCGTAGTGACCAAGAGTCTCGAAACCGTTGACACTAGCATTCTCGGCGCGAACGATGCGTTCTTTAGTCTGTAGAGCGTCAGTCTAGATTCTAGGTCCACATATGCGCCCAGCGACATCCGACGTATGGGCTTGTCCAGGGTCTTGTCATCTTTGAGCCTCTGCTGGAGGGGTCGAGTGTTGGCCATGTCACAGCTCTTTCTGGCTGCCGCACAGGCGTAGGAGTGAGAGCCATGGCAATGAAGAAGGTGACCGGCACCTGAGCGGGCAGCGGTGTCAGTGAGAGCGTACGCATAAGTCCGTCTCGAATATGATGACTCACTGTGTGGAACGAGAGCCCCGTTTGGGCGAGGTTGAGGCACATAGTGATGGATGATCTGATGGAAGGAGGGCCTTCAAGGAGGCTTCAACACGTACTGATGCAAGTCCTGGCTGAAGCTTTCAATACAACCTTTCCTGTTCCAGCTCTCAGGCGCCTCTGAAATTCGCAGGCTCCGCATTCGCCGCATGTCTCTGAATGTCGTGGTTCGTTTCTATGGAGAGTCAAGAGAATTGACGTGAGGACAGGTGCGGCTTGCAAGTTTGTGACCTCTACAGAGCAACCTTCAACAAGCTGACTGCAGAGTGGCGATAAACGTGTCGAAGACGGCGAGTTCCCATGAAAACTTGACAGTACCGATCAAGGCAGCCGAGCACCTGAGCTCACCCAAGGAGAATTCTCTGCCCCAGGGCGAACCAGAACAAGGCCACTGTTGAAGCACTCATGTCGGTCTGAAGATAGATTGACAGACAGGCCGCATTTATCCCTGGGAATCTTGGCGCGGCGCACATAAAGACGTCCTGGCGCTGTCGACCAACGGAGTCGTATGCGGACTCGTTTTTGAAATAGTTGGAAACTCATTTGCAACTGCAATCTTACTGTGTTCGAACAGGGTCGTATGCGGACTTGCATCTGGGATAGACAGCGCTGATCGAAGCGCAACACGTCAAGTCCGCCACATGGCAAACACATGTTCAATGTTGGCACGCGGCCCGTGTAGTCAGCATCCAGATGTGAAATAGACAAAACGGAGCGCGTCTCGAGATCGCATTGATATCTTATTCAAAGCGATGGGGCTTTTCCTCCTACATGAAGGCGTTTTGAGTTCGAAGCCATCACAACGTGATCGGTGTCTCAACAAAGCGATATATGACGCCATGTAACGACGTGCTGTCCCGTGGTAAAGCCAGAAATCTACGTATGTTGCAGATACGACCATAATGTTGATCTCACATGGTTTCGAGTCTGATGAGTCGTAGCGATTGTCTTTGTCAATACGTTGATCAAGGGCTCATGAAAGCTGAATTCGAGGAGTACCGAAGGTAGGTACCTAGATAGCGCAGGGGGTCACGGCTGAGTCATCAAGACCACCCCGCTATCGAAGCTCTACGACATGCGAACATCCACATGCCCACCTATCGCGCCCAGTCAACGCGACTTCAACACCAACTGCAGCATCGCGACATCGTGTCCACCGGCAGCGCGTACAGCCACCACCTGTTAACAATGTCACAACCACCGCCCTCAGACAACCCACCACCGCCTCCCAACCCAGAACCCACAGAAATGGACACCTCGCCAGACAACCCCCCACGGGACCCAGCCCCCGACGCGCCGCAGCAGCCAGCCGACCAAGACGAAGCAGCAGCAGCCCCCGCGTCGCCCCCGCTCCCCGAGAAACACACTCCCGTCGCGCCGGGCTACCGCGCGGCCCGCTTCATCAAAATGTACGACGAGGCTCTGCGGCGCACGCTGGCCCGCGTAAAGTACGACAACTTCGCCGCCTGCTTCCCAACCATTGCCGCCCACGCGCCCAACGCCCTGCGCAACGTGCAGAAGCAAATGGTCGACTACCTCGAGGACCGCTGCAACGTGCGTTCATCTCTCCTCCCTGCGAGAATTCCCCCTTTCGCGTGCGTGTGAAACAGAGAGCAAACACAACATGCAAGATGACGAGGCGCAGAGAGACATCGCATGCTGACGGGTACCACAGAAGGATTTCCAGGCCATCCTTGACGAGAGGGACCTCGTGCGCAAGCTGAACGAGCTCGAGGCCCTCGTCGCCGAGGCGGATCGGCAAAGGGCGAACACCCAGCCGACGCGCCAGAACCGATACCGTGAGTCCCATTGAGCCCTCAAAACACCAGTGCCGGCGCCCCTTCTTTCAGACCCAAGGAGGCGAGCAGCTGCCTCGAACAGCCCGGTTTCTCCGGATCAAGACATCAGCTGACGGACAGAACAGCCCGCACTCTCTGCCCCCTGAAGCTGTGATCAAGGGCCATCTTCACCCGCCGCTCGCTCATGCCTACTCGCACCTGAGCGCCGCTCTCCAGAACACGCGCATGGAGAACGAGGACCTTTTCACCACGATACAGGCCCAGCGTGCCGAGATGGACGCTCTGCTTGCTGACTTGGACGGCGTCGTTGCTGACATAGATGGCGCCAACGATCTTCTCGGCGAAGTGGCGCCCGAGCTTGCTGCTGAGGCACGCAGGGCAGACAACGGTATTGCAGGAATATAGAATGGAGCTCACTTCTCCTTTCTTCGTTTGTCCGAGACACCCAATACGCCATTGACTGCGCTATGCACCTCAGCAGCGAGCTCGGATGCGACTTGGGTGGCAAGTCAAAGCAAGCCGATCAGGTTGACTGCCGGTCTCGAAACAGGATTACACGGCAAAGGGAAGAGGGACGCCAAGTCCAAAAGGGGGCTCGCGGCCCCATTGGACACCACGCTATGGTATGCTATAATGATGCCCACGACGCCATGACAGCCGCGGCGCGGCTTATATATAATGCCAAAGAGTAACACACCCCCAGCTGCCTCCATTCAGTTTGACTTCCCATTCGTGACCGTACTACTTACTATGTGCCCATCTGGCGCCTGCTGAGTGGCGCCTGGGCCATGCAGTAGGGAATAATGCATATTATCACATCAGGAGTGACGTGCCTCTCTTCGAGCCCACGCTCCACTCCCCATACCGCGGAGGAAAGACTCTCACTTTCCTCCCCGTCTCCCAGTTGATCGTCCATCGCGTGCCTCCTCGAATTACAAACTCACTCTTCCTCGGGCTGCGGTATAGCAGGATGGCGAAGCAAAGCCGCGCATACCGCATGTCATCCGCTGGATCCCACGTCTCGCGCGGCGGCGCCCATTTGCCATCGACTTCGCCGCCGCCAGCCGCAGCAACGAGCCTCCGAAAGCTTGCCGACCCGGTCGTCGATCGCCTCGACAACGCGGGCGTCGAGCCCCCAGATGGTACCTGACCCTGGATCATGCCCTGTCCTGCCATGCCCTGTGTACCATCTGACATTTCAGGCGACGGATATGGGTCGGCATCCATGTCGAGGTGCGAGCTCAGGCTCAGACTCGAAGTGATGCTTGGGGAGTACGCCCTCGGCGCGAGCGTCAGCCCGCCTAGTGGTCGTGGCGTCGGGACGGGATAGCTCACCCTCCCCGCGTTCGACACGCGTCGCTGAGCTTGCAGCCATCGTGTCCGCTGAGAACGGGGTACGGACTGATCGGCGGGATACTCGCGTTCGTCGAGGGGGGCTGCTATAGCTATGGCGGCAAAAAAGGCGTCAAGCCAGCGAACAAAGGTGGCAGACTCGAGACATGACAGCAGCAGCTGGTCTGTTTCGAGGCGGAGGCGAATGACGTTTCGTCGTCTATTCTGTTAGTCATTTTGCCCCTTGTCGCTAGGGGTTCTGACCCGCGTGTTCATATATGATGAGTACTTACTTCTTGTAGTCGGCAGCAATACCAATGTCGGCGTGCTGCAAGTGGTAGGTCCGCAGAAGGGTCGCTCGACGAGCCCAGGGCGGATTATCGGGGGACTGGTTAGAAGATGCCCACTCGCGTGCGGCGCCCCAGCCCCATTGCGTCCACTCCTTTTTGACGCTGTAAAGCTTGAGACTGGTGCCGCGTAATTGGACAATGACAGTGTGCCAGGTGCGGTCATCGGCGCGGTCCACGGCGTCCTCGAGTTCCATTTTCAGCTCCCAGACGGCAGCGAGATCAATGTCGGTGTGGTATTTCGGCGGCAACTCGATGAGGGCCTGCCTCTGCTGAGGTTGCTGTCGGCGATCATCAGTGACGGTGATGAGGGATGATGCTGGACGCAGAGCCTGTGGTCGATAGGGGGGTGGTGGTTCCGAAGGCGGCCTCGGGTCGGCTGTCATGAGCTGTTGATAGAACAAGTCCTCCTCGACAGAGAGGCGGCGGCCGTAGGCATCATGGCGGGCGGTAGATGTGGTAGAGGATGGAGTAGATGTTGAAGATGAGGAGGATGAGATGGAACGTGAGGCTGCGGTCCAGAAGCCTTCGCCGCCTGCGGCAAAACGAGAACTCATGAGAGTGGCTCCAATGCTATTAGATGACGAGGCGTAGGGGAGAGGAAGCAAAGGGGTGACGGGGCGTGGTAAGGCGAACAGAGGTTGTCCGAGGGTGATGGTTGGTCCCAGAGGAGCCATCAACCATCATGATGGAGGTCGATGTCGGTGCTTGGATTGAGATTGCAACCCGAATGTAAGTACAAGAGCTGGATAGGCAGGTGGGAGCTGCTGCGGTAATTTCGGCCCGCTCAAGCTCGTTCATCGACTCGATCTAAAAGTAAATTTGGCTGACGCACACGAGGTGGTTTTGGTCGTCATGAGGCTCATTCGGCTGAAAGAAAACCGCTGGCCAGAGGTTGTGTGAGAAGGTATCGTTGCCTTCAAGTTTGGGTCAACGTTGAGTCTGGGACTACCGTCTTGGCACCAGCCAGTGCTGTCGGCGCAACTCACTTGTCTTGATAGAGCAGGGGACGCGCAGATGGTTCGTTTTCATCAAGTAAAGAAAAGAAATAACTTTTGCGGCTAAGACGGAAGAAATGTGAGTTGTCGTGTTGCAAGGGCGCGGTGAAAGGCACAGACACAGAGCAAGGTACGGCTGTGGGTGAGCAGCGGAACTGAAGTGAGTCAAGTCATGTCAAGGGTCCATATAAGGTAGGGCGCAATATGACACCTCGGAGCCAGTGACAAATCGCTCAACAAGACACGAGATGGGGGTAGCGTTGATACAGCAGTTTGTTTGGTGAAGATGAAGAGGCAGAAGACGGATGACGGTGGAGGAGTAGTCCAAGAGGAGAAGAGGAGAGAGGGGACACAGCTTCCAGAAGGGGCAGAAGAAGCATTCTAGAAGGATGGGGAAAAGACGAAACAGATCTCGCGAACTCATGGCAATCAGCACGCAGAAAAGTGACCGCGCCAATCGCAGCGAAAGGACCACGACGTGGGCATGGGTCGGGAGGCGCGGGAAGCAGACGGCGGGCAGCACTTCTGCTTGGAGCCATGGTGAGGTGCTTCTTCGGAGGATATTGTGACGGCGGCGGGAGCAGCAGCGACGAACTGTCGTGATCCGCTGGTGCGCGTGGGTGTACATCTACAACCTAGACGGACTGGGTTCGAGCTGGTGGAGAGGCGAGGCATAGGTTAAAGTTGGATGCTGATCCGCTGGGTGCTGTGACGGATGGTGTCTGTGAGTGGAGGAGCTCGGGGCCGTGGCATGGGGCCGTGGCCTGGGGCAGCAGTAGCATGGGACAGGAGGTAGCATGGGGCATGGGGCGCGTATGGGGCACAGCGTACACATGTACATGGTAAATGTACAGCGGGTAGGGGCTCCCTACCGGCTATCCTACAAGGGTGGAAGCTTTGAGGCAGGTGCAAAGTTAGGGGGTTCTCCCGGCCGGCGGCCTCACGGGGGGTGGTCGTAGAGGCCACAGAGGTTGGGTGGACAGGCCAGGGCGTGAGATCTGCTAGGCCCTTCTGGGTAGGTCCTTCTTTATACCCATCTGATCCATCTCAAGCACGACCCAGGCTGACGGCCAGACTGAAGCATTTGATGGGGACACTCGACACGAGAGGCAGGAGATGTCGTGACCCAAGATAGAATAGGGAAGGACAAGTGAAGAACCCAGAGCTCGGGTGGATTTCCGAGGTCGCATCAAATCTGGGTCGGCTCACGTCCTCCGCCGCAACCTACCCAAGCTACCTGACCTTACCTGACCTTACCTCGCAGCATACCTACATGCTGTCATATGTGTTCCAAAGCCTCTTCTCCCCGTACTCCTGCTGCCGTGCCTTATTGCTCTCCTCTCTTCCATCCGGAATCGCCATTGCCCCCCTCCCCCCCCCCCTCCAGTCTGGGAATCATGCAGCCACCAAAGGCGCTACGACCTCCCCCTCCACCATCTCCTCCCTGCACCCTAGTTGCCGATCGCATCTACAGCGGAGTCGCCGTGAGCCTCCTAGTTAGACCGTCGTCCCCTTTCATCATCGCACTCATTCGTCGTACCCCATCCTCAACCCCCAGCGCCATGCCCGGATAGCCGCGCGCGAAGCCATGAACGGATATCATCTCCGTTGGATTCATCATCACGGCTCCTCTTTTACAAACCCACCAACACCGACGCCCTAGCAACAACCAAGGCTTGCCTGGAAATGATCGGTGCACAGCAACATGGCGTCTGTTGTCTCCTGGGCACCATCTAGTGGCAACTCACATCTCTTCGCTCACGGGCCGCCTCGTCCTGATAGTCAAGGCAAACCGATGAACAAACATACGAACATGAGCTTCAAGTTTCCTTCGTATGGCACGATACTCTTCGAACGGCGTGCTCATGCCTGATCCCTGCGACAGCAACAGCTTGCTAGCATTAAGCTTACCGCTCCAGTTTCTTGGCACCATTGAATCCTTCGCCCAAGGAACACTTCCAGAAGCCCCCCTCGCCTCCCGCCCCCTGTTCCTGTTCGCCGCCGCCCACGCCCCCTCCCCTTCCTCTCAGCTGGACTTCCGCCCGCCCCTCCCCCCTTCATGATGAGCACGACAAGACAGTGACATACCCGCACATCACAGCAAATCGCCTTGCCTAAGCCTCCCACATCTCGAGCCATCCTCCTCCCGCACCTGTTTTCTTCTTCTTCTTCTTCTCTTATTGCTTCGTGCAGCGCCGGCGTACGACGCTTGTCGGACGCTTGTCGATCTCCCCCTTTTACCCTGAAGCCAATTGAGTCAAGAATCAGCCTGCTGCCAGACAGGGTTTGCCACATGCACACTGCGCGCTTGTGCTGCTGTGCCTGCCTACCGTGCTCCGTGTGCCCATGCCCATGTTCGTGCTCCGTGCTCGTGCTCATGCTCGTGCTCGTGACCCCTGAGGGGTTGTCATCAGTCGTTGGCCTCGGCGCCGAAACGGGCCCTGCTGGTCTTGCCTGGTCCGGCAGTCGGACCTGCCACTATTGTGCATCTCGCCCGAGAAAGCGGGACAGACGGGCCACCAACGAGGGAGAATGGAGGGGTCTTCCAAGACTTCTCTCGTCTTGTTCCTCGGACTCGGCTGTCAGCGATCGCCTCGCCGTATCAAGAAGGTAGCTGCGAAGTGCTTGCCCGTTCCCCGAACATGACAAAGCAAATAGTAATACACAAAAGGACATAGAATGCCTCGCAACACCAGACTTGACATGAATGACGGACAAAGAGTCGGAATTAGCAATCATCGTCCCTTTTTTTCATTACAGCCTCTTTTGCGTCCTGCTTCAGACGTCTCATCTTGACGAGGTAGCTCGCCCATGCTCGCGAGCTTGCCTGCTTGCCTCCAGACGCTTCCTACCCACTATAATACAGCGCCCAATCCCCCTTTCCATCCCTGAAATCCGCCCATTGCCAGGTGGGCAGTCCGCTCACGACGAGCACGCACATATCCCCCCCACCCACCTGATTTTACCTGCTTGCCCACCTGCCCTGCGGCGACGACCGCCAAACTCGCCTTCGTCAAATATACACTTTTCGTCGCCTCATTCGTGAGCGGCTGGGCCACCGCCCAGAGGAGAGACATAGAGAGAGAGAGACCCGACGCCTGCTTTGCTAGATTGCCCCGTGCTTTTCCCGTCGCCCGCCGCCAGAAAAAGACCAACAAACGGTCGAAATGCAAATGCTGAGTGGCCATGCTCGGGGAGGAACAGAAGAGTGCCCAGGGGTTCGGGGAAAATAAAAAACACGCAGAACCTGAGGTCAAGCTGCCCGGAAAATGGCCATCACAACCACGCCCCGTCCGACTCGAACTCCGTGGAAAAGACGACATGAATAAATAGAAAGGGGATCCGAAAACAATAACCAGCTTTTGTTTCTCGCAGTCCAAGTACCCTGGGAGCTTACCTGGAGAGAGGAAAGGAGAGGGAGGATATGATCGGGTGTAGTTACAAGTCGACAGTAAGCGCGCGAGATGCTGCGACTGGTAAGGTAAAAGGTAGAATCGGCATCATCCGCCGGACCGTGGGTTTTCGTCATGCGTGTGATACCAACCCTCGGCCGTGCATGTGCCCTGCAGCGCGCTCAAAGGCTGCCGTTTCTCAAGCGTTGGTGGCAGCCTGCGAGGCGCCACGGCCGCGGGGAGCACCCCGGCCACGACCCTGTCCGCCGGTGAAGTTGCCACGGCCACCGCCCTGGCTTCCCTGGCGCTGGCCCTCGAAACCGCCGCGTCCGCGCTGGGAGCGCCGCCACGTCCGGAAGCGTAGTTGCTGCCACCGTATGCGCCAGCCTTTGGGACGCGGCCTCAACGTGAATTGTTTCGCCGTTGACTGTGTGGGGGTTAGCGGCGGCGGCAGCCTGGTTAGCCGGCAGCGGTCCGCGAACTCGACAAAGGCGCAGTTC